CTTCACAGTTATACTCAGTACATCTCAGTTCTGTCCTGAAACGCTAGGTTATCCCAAACCCTCAGCTTGTCTTAATGGCAATTACGATAGTGTAATTCTGCCGCAGAACTGCCCTGGCGCTGAAATCCTCACGCTATTTCAACTATCAGAGCTGAAGGTAGTACTTTGAGCCTATGAGCCAGATTGGATGTAGTCACATGCATAGATAAGAGTGTTTTTTCCTACTGTCAAACATGAGTCCTCTGAGATTCCAGCTTTTTTTGTAGTCATTTTACTCCCTTGAACGAGTGATATCTTAACTACCAGTTTAAAGCACACATATCAAAGGAAGCCAGTGATAATATGAAGTGTCACCGAATGAGAAATTAATCTCTGTCTACAGAGATGTACTCGGCATGCCCAAGGTATTGTGATAAAACACATTTGAAAGCTGTTTCTTCTGCAAGGGAAGATTTTTTTTATATATATACCAAACACTTTTATTGTATGTGAAGTGTTTTGATAAGACAACTGCACTATGTCCCCTGAAAGCTTAGTTTATTGACATTTATAGCGCTACTTGCTGCGTGAGGAACAAATTGCAGAGCTATTTTTCAAGTTGTCGTCAGATCCTGGAGACGTACTGAAAGATAAGGGAGATTCGTGAATCCACGGGGGAAAGAGATGCAGTAAGCACGCTTCAGTCCTCTGTAGTGTGAGTGGAAGTCCCTGCTGGACCGTGCCCACATCTCAGTATCGTCAGTTCTCTTCTGCTGTTGCAAACCTGCCCTTGGGTTCTTTCTCAGAGTGAGCAGAATTACGCTGTTTTAACATCAAAAATCCAAATTTCTCAGCACCTTTTATTGGCTTGACAGCACTTTGCAGGCCTGTATTTTGGTGGTAGTCACAGTATGAAACCTGGGTAGTTGAGGTGCAGCTCTCACTTCTAGCTATAGAGCTGGAAAGAGATGGCCCATGCTTAAGGATAAAACAGGATTAGAGAGGCACAAAACTATTCAATCATGTATTCCTGGATCTTAGTCTACATTGCAGTTATTACTGTAATTCTGTGGTATGCAGTTAACAAGAGAAACTGGTAATTTCGCAATTTTATATCTATTAATAGATTGCAGCAGCCCAGACAAACTATGATATGTATAATAACTACTCGTATTTAGTGTAATTATAGCACAGTAAAATATAACAAATGCACAATGTTGTGAGGGTTTCTTTTTAAACTCCTGAGGTGTTTTCTTCTTCTTCCTTCTCAGTAATATGTTCACAGATAAAATAGTTGAGACATCATCTGTTGGGAAATAGGTGGACTTGCATGTGTTCAGCTGACTTGTGTTTCTGCTACGGTATTTCCACTGATGACTTTCTTTTCAGACACAGAGGAACATGGTGTCAGGGCGAATCTGTTGCTTTGAGTAATTCAAAGTAATTCAAAGCAGCCACTGTGTAATGTCAGTAGTGTTATTAATTATTCTTGCGGGAGTGTGAAGGTGTTGAGGGTTCTTTTGTGCAAAGATTACATTCTTATAGATATTGTGTTAGGATATATGCAATTAAAACCACAACTAAGTTAGATCTGGAAGGAAGATGCCTCAATGTTTTATTTTTAGGTATGTCGGAAATATTTTCTATTCATTTTGCCTGGGTAATTAAGTGTGTATAGTGAAGTAAAAGGAAGGAGAGAAGGAAGGGAAACTGAATGCCATAGTCAATGGAGTATGTAAGGAATCTCCCCACGTCCCCATTTAAATTTTGTATTGAAAAACAACAACAACAAAAACCAAACCAAAACAAAACCCCAAACCAAACCAAAGCATAACATAGAATAGAAATAGAAACAGTACAACTTCTGCCATTGTAGAGCAGCGGATAACGCCTGATTTGTACCACCTGGAAAGCAATCCAGGCCATCTGCTTTGTATCAGCATGGAGGATATTGCATTCTGGAGTCAAAGCATCATCCAGACAAAGGTGTGAAAAGGAGTTAATTGGAGAAACAGTGTAAGAAAGAAGATCAAAGGCTTGTCTTAGAAGAGGAACATTATCCATGTAGTCTTAACCTACTCTTAAAATTAAAAAGAATGTATTAGCCTTTAGCTTTGGTGGGCCAGTCCTGCTACTTTCACCGAGTCTGCATGTGCAGACTCGTTGAGAAGGGCCTGTTTTGTGCAGAGGTTGGTAAAAGAACGATACGTTGCTTTAATCCTGCTCACGCTCTCAACAAAGACCTTCAGTGGGACGTAAGGTGCATTGGCCTTGCACTGGCTCCCTGCCCAGGGGCAAATCCCTTTCCGAGGAAGTGACTTTAGACTGTCAACAAGATACAACCTTCAACAAAAGCCTGTGGTGTATTTTCTTATTTCTCTTGCACACAAACAAAGTGAGACTGCAGAGTCTATTTGATATAAGATCAGCTTCAATCATTCAGATTAACAAATGACATTTACCTGAAATTTTTCATCATGTATGTCTCTAAAGGATTAACAGTGTGGATTTTTCTGTAGGAAGAGTGGATGTCTGTTTAGGACAGGTGCAATTCAGACACCCTGGGAAGTGCTGGTGACCTGCATTTACAGTAAACATAGAAAAGAGGTCTGGCAGCAGGGAATAGTGCATCTGCATGACAGAACTGAAACATAACCCTGCCTTTTGAACATGGCTAGACTTCTGGCAAGGTCATGGAGAGCTGTGAAACATTCTGGCACTTGAGAGGCCCCCCCCGAGAAGCACACTTCCATTTCCTTACAGGAATACTGCCAGAGAGCAGTGTTTTAAATCTAATGGTGACACAAATCAAATGTCCTTCAGGTATTTGCTTAGAGGCCAACGTCCTCTTTGTTTTAAGAAAACGTTAAGTCCTGGCCTACCTGAGTGCTACAGCGAATGAGCTATTTTCATTTAAGCATTCATTTCTGAAAACATTTTTACTGGACAACAGAGTTTGTAGTGCAAGTGATATTGAAAGGCCCATACTGTTCAATGTTTCCAAAGATTTTTTTAAAAGGCTGAAAGGCTCTCTTGATTATTTGATCTGAAATGAATTGTACATACCTGGGGTGTTCCCCAGTAATTCTTGCCTCACACCCATACCTTCCATCTGAGCTATGGCGCATATTGTAGAAAGACATTTAGTTGTGACTGGAAAAGATCTCATGAAACACATTAGCTAACTCTTAGGTAATGCTACAAAACCTTCAGCTTCAAACATCAGCTCTTGCTAGGCAATGTTAGTGATAGAGGCAAAAGTAGGTGGATAGTTGCCCTGGCTTTTGAGCCATTTTGGTGCTGATCCTGCCCCTGGCATAAATCAGAGTTCAGAGTCGTTCTCACTCATGTCTGTCTGGAACGGTCTGCCTGTACGTTCGTCATACTTTGAAGATTACCATTGGTTCTTGAAGCTGCAGAATAGGCCAGCAAATATACGAAGCTGACTTGAAAATGCACGCTGACATCATTGCTGCTGGTTTCTGACTCAGCAGAGACATAGATATGTTACTCGGAGTGGAGGATGTTGTTTCAGTTACTCACGCTTCTGAGGCAGTTTGGCATGAACGACTGAACAGGGCGGAAACTTTCACTTTGAGCAAAAGAACAGTTTTAGTAGCGCCTATGTGCCTGTACCTTTTCACGTCCATCCCTTCCCACAACTGTCCCAGACCAAATGTTCAACTCCCCAAACCGTTGGTGGCAAAAAAAGGAAATGCAGTTAACTGTGAAAATGTGTTTTCAGAAAAAAATTATAACTATGGAGCTCTTGAACAACAACAACAATGTGAGAAAAGTCAAAGACCCTCCAGTTGCTGCAGAAGAAGATCCTAACACAACAGGATATCTTAGAGGAAAGGCACGGATGAGGACATTATGCCCTTTTACTGCCAAAAGTCCTTGTATTTTGTCCATGTCTTCTCCTTGGCAAGCTGCAGGCAAACTGAAGGATGCAGCACAGATCTGCCACAGTCAAGAGGGATTTTCAGCTCCCCAATTAAAGCAGTGTGTAGGGTCTATCAGGTAAGCCAATATCTGTGTAAACATCTAGTAATAGCTACACAGGGGGAAATCAGGGCATCTCCTTTGTATTTGTTTATCTGAGGCAGATGCTTATAGTGATGGCCAGAACATTTCTGCAAGGAGCAGAAACATGCAAAATGTTGAAGATTTTTTGAAAATGCTCAGGTTCAGTTTGTGAAACTCATGCTTCTTGAAAAAGCCTCTCTTTGGGCAAAGCAAGCAGTTTTCCTCTTATGCTTGCAGGTATGCATTCTTGATCTGACATGACTTGCAACCACAAGAGAGCACTCTTTCCTTTGAAGATTTCTCAGCTTCCCCAGAAAGCTAGAGACATGCCATACAAGTTTTGAAAACTGCTTGTGAGCTGTTTCAGTTAGACCAGAGCAGCCGAAACAACAAAGCTTGCAGTTGTCTTTTGGATTTCTTTGTGAAAAGCCTTTGGGTAGTTTTCAGATGACAGAAGATCCTTGGTTCCTGAAAGGGAGGAGTTCTGCCAAAACTTTGAAGATTCCTGTAAACTTTGCAAATTACCCATCTTTTGGAGACAATTATATCAAACGATATCATGGATTACAATACATGAGAAGTGTTTAGAGCCTGGAAGATTATTTATGTTTGGCATTAACTCTTATGGTCATAATTTCAAGCGGAGAGAAAAGGAATACACAGGAACCCTCTTATTATCTTTTGAAATATGAAGATCAGAGGAAAAGAATGGTTTAAAGTGTGGAGTGATGGTCCTCAAAACCTGTCTGTAAGTTAGCTGGCATCCTACATCTATAAAAACAACAAGGCTTAGAGCGGATTTCCAGGCACAGAGTGGACTTCATGAGTTGTTAGCAGTGCTTTGAGATCTGAGTTTTTATACACCGCAGGAGGAAATTGCAGCCTGCAGGGCAGAGTACCTAGACAAATGTTTCCTCCTTGCTTGGACTGATACAAGATTTGGAAGCCAAATTCGGGAATTGACATTCTACCGGCGAGGAAAAAAAGGAAGCATGGACAGCAATAAAGATGATGATGGACTACTGAACCGGATTGCATTTCCAGGAGCTATGTCCCTGGCTAACAGCCATGTGCATCCTCGTGGGGTTCCCCTGAGAGAGCCCTTTGGGGTTCCCTTCCATCTGGACCCGTCTTACTGGGAGCAAGCCTACCGCGGGCACACAGGTCGCATCTCCTACATCCCATTCCCTGGCTACATGGGCATGTATGACTATTCCTTTGAGCCTGCCTTCATTCGGAAGAGGAACGAGAGGGAAAGGCAGCGGGTGCGCTGCGTGAACGAGGGCTACACACGCCTGAGAGAGCACCTGCCCAAGGAATTTGCTGACAAGCGCCTCAGCAAAGTGGAGACCCTGAGAGCTGCAATAAGCTACATCAAACACCTGCAGAGCTTGCTGGACTGCCACCCCTTAGGGTCTAACAGTAAGGAAACGCTCTCTGCCAAGGAGCTCCCAGAAGCTCCCAGTCCTGGTCCCCTGCGGGAGTGCAACAGTGATGGAGAATCTAAAACCTCTTCAGCTTCATCCCCCTACAGTGAATTTGAGGAGACAGGCAGCTAGGTAATGGCCTCTCTGGAGACAGAAAGCTTCGAGTTCGGCTGAAAACCAAATCTAAAACCCTGGGGATTTTTCTACAGATGAAAATGAATACCAGGAAAAGGAAAAACAGCTAGAGAAAAAAAAAAAAGGTATTTTCAATCTGTCAAAGGACTTTAAAAGTTGTCTGTACAAAACCTAAAGATGATTTGTTAGCAAACAGATATCTCTCAGGTTGCTTCAGCTGTGTTACTAAACTTCCTCTGGATTGTTAAAACTGAAGCAACGTTTGCATTCTACTTTTCATTCAGCTTTTATTCTGTTTGTCTATTTTCTTTTGCCTTTCACTCCATGAGACAGCAAAACCAGATAAATCTATTTCAGGAAATTCCCCTCCCCTTTCTCCTGCTTCCTCCTGTAAGTTTTATTGTCTCTTTTTCCTGACTGCTAACCTGAGATGCAGTGGGTTGCAAACACTTGTGCTGGGAAAGGTAAGATTCAGGTAAACTGTCTTTACCTGACATTTTTAGAAAACTCACAGAAATACTTCCATTTCTGAAAAGACAATTTTTAGAATATAAATAAGGCTATATTTGGGAATTAATTTCTTTTATGGCATCTTCTAAAGTGAACGAAGCAACTCATATATTGGACACTGGCTGTTTGGTGATTATTTGAAGGATAATTTTCAGGAAAAGAAAATCTGACACTTTCATTCTAATCAATGCTAGGAAGAGGGAAACAGAGTTCTGTAAAACTGCACCTTCAAAAGCAAAGCTCCACTCATGATACTGAAAAAATGTTTCCAGCCTTTTTCCTTCTTTTCTGAAAATTGAGTTTGTGGACAAAATAGTCTTGATTGTGTCTTTTTGGCAGGTCAGAGATTCTATGCTTAGAAATATGTTCCTGTAGTGGTTAGATACTGGTGTGTACAAAAAGGGCAACATTGAACATATCAGTTCACATCTGCATGAAAATGTAGATATTTCTCCTTTTTTTTAGAATATTGTATTACTTTTTCAAAGAATATACCTTTTAAAATTAATATCTCAAATTCTATGGAATACCTTTCATTTGGACCATGTCTACTTAAAATGAGAATTTGTCTCCAAATTGCTCTAAAATCTTCCTTTCTCCAAGGCCAGATTTAAATAACATTTAGCTATGTGCTTAAATCTCATTCTGAATATGGGGTAAACGCCTTCTTACCCATACACTTTCTACAGACCTTTCAAACTTTGTTTTTTTGGCCTTATGTAGGTGAAATGGTTTTGTATCTTTTTGTCTTTCCTTCCTGTCATGCTGACTGAACACCTGAAAAAATACTCATGTATAAATAAGAACAAATACTGATCAAATACCTCAAAACATGTCCATAAATTTCATTTAAATAAAAAATTGAATTAGTCCTGGCTGTGGTTTTTTTTCACATTCAGTTGATAACAAACAGGACGGCACTGTTCGCAGGAGTAGTGAATTTTCAGGAAAGAATAAAGACGACGGATAGGAAGTAAATATGAACTGCTACCTATGAAACTAAATTTTTAATCTAGATTTTTAAATCTAGGTAAGGAGTGGGTTTGTATCATGGGCATCTAATAAAAATTATTTGGTATAAAAATACTCTGCTGATCTCTAGCAGACTACTCTGAACATTTGTACCCTTTTAGCTCTTGTGTCCATGGCAGTCACAGGCTTCGTTCTTTATTCTTTAGGTGGTAGCCAGCTTTGTTTTCTAACAACTATTTTGTTTTTCTAAGGACTGTAACTTTTGCAGGGTCTGTTTCCCAGACCCAAAGAGTAGAACTCTAGTTACCTGGACAGTTCAGATCCAGAGCCAAAGCACTCATTTCTGGGTGTGTAAGTGTTTGCATTTGTTATTCAAGAAAGGGGAGGAGGGCAAGGTAGTGGTCTGAATGTCTGATTGGGATGCATTATTTTTTGGCTTTTTTCCTTTCCTTTGAGGTTTCTGACGAGATTCAACCTCTCTCTCTCTGCCTCAGTTTTGAGATTTCTGGAAATATGGTAGTGCTGCTGGTAACTCTGTCAGTAAGCCTGAAGTGCATTTCTCCCTCAAAGCAGAGATTAAATCTTTGTTATCTATGAAAAACGTACACTTCCTTAGAGTACCTGCGATAAATTCTGTGAAACATGTAATTGTTTGTAAAGCACTCTGAAGATGAAAAGCAGTTACTATACATATAATGACAATAAATAGCCAAATCAAACCGAACAACTAAAAATAAAAATTACCAGAATGACCATTACTTCCTGGGCAGGACAGATCAGATAATGCCCCAAATACATTTTTAGGTCAGATAGTTATCACAGAGGTTTCACCACTACAGACATATATCCAGGAGCCACAATCCTCTGATTTCCAAACTCTAGAGAGATGGTGCAGCGTGCCACCTTCTCCACGACCAGCTAGTTAGCTTGGCCGAAGTGGACTAGGTTGTGTCTCTGCCCACTTTCAGCTTCATCTCACGTGGGATGTTCCTCAACAGGAGTCTAACCGAGTGGAAAGCATCACACCCTGGGCCTGTGCTTGGCCGTCATCGCTCTACGGTGTCTCTTCACATGTGAGACACAGGCTGCTCTGCTGCACATCTAGATGGGACTGGTTTATTTGTTGCATATCCTTAATACTCTGCAGTCAGAACCAAACCTGGATTTGGTGAAACAATATTCTGGAAGAGGCTTCTGGACCTCAAGTCGAGGAGACTGGTTAAAAGTCTACTTTTCAATAAAACCGTAGCTACTTTTGTTTTTTAGATTATACATCTTTAACAGCTCTGGAGATGTCCTTAAATTACCTCCCAATCCAACCTCAATGCTGAAGGTACAAAAGCCAGAATGTCACAGGTAGCTTAATTTAATTTTAAAGGAAAATTAATTTCTGGATAAAAAGGTAATTCTTTCTGTGTGAAAAATCTGTCACAGGTTGAACCACTCTCCTTAGGAAAGTTGTACATTTTTATTTCTCACAGTTCCTGTTGTCATGCAAACCTCTTGCACACTTTTACTACAAGGAAGTAGAAAACAGCTCAAGATTTCCCAAATATGGATCAGTGCTACAGGCATCAATAAAGGTTTAAAGTGAATGCTACATTTCAAAAGCTTTCTTAAGATGTTTCTGTCTAGACAAAGGTTTTCTTCAAAGCTTCTAAAGTGTATCATTATCAGACTTTGAAAGCAGACAATGATCCAGCTTGTCACCATGAGAATTAAAGTTCTAATAAAAATGTTGACCAGAAGAATTCTCTCCATGTGGCACAATTGCTATTTACAAGAAAGGTGAACACTGATATCCATAAGCAACCATGCTGCAGCTTTATCAAACTCCTGCGCACCGAATGCAGACACTTTAATCTCTCTATCAAATGTGAAAAAACCACACATCTGAAGTCTTCCCTCTTCTGCCATTAAATTACAAATCCATTTGCTCCTTGATATTATCAGCATTTTAAAGATGTGTAATCCTGGCCATGGGATTGCTTTTAATCCTCTAATAGCTATTTAGCTGATTTCTTTGTAAAAGCCCATCCACACTCCTTTCATGTTATATTACCCAGTGTCAATAACATGGCCAAAGAAAACCCAAAAGCACTATAGAAACGTCATGTTCAGATAGTAAAGCAATCAGGGCCAATTTATCTCACTGGAATAAATGAACAGGGAACATCCACACAAATATAAAGAATCTTTGAAAACATTTGTCACCAGCATACTTGGGAAGGAAGCAAAAAAAGATCCAAAGCATTTTGAAGAGAGACTCTCAAGCGGTACCAACAGGGGAGTCCTGCTGAAGTTAGCTGAGGTCAATCACTATAGCCAAGCAAGGTCTTAGTAAGTCTCTCCAAAAATAGAGTCTAAGCAAATATAACTTCAGCGGGTGCTCATCACTAGTAATCCTCAGCATATAGATAAATGGCTACAAAGTAAGAGGTAAATTTGTTCTAGACAAATGGGGAGCAGCAAAATGGTAAGACTGCGGCTGTACCTGGCTTTTCCGCAAGGCTGTCCAGCTGTAGATCTAGAAGCTCTACAAATAAACACAAGGTGAGCAACATTCTCCATCAACCTGAAGGTGTGCTTGTACATAAGACTCTGCTATAAATGCTCACTCATGTATTTCCCACATAATTTTTACACATTTTTTGTACCTCACTGTGAATATGTCCACTGACAGAGCGATGGAAAAGTTCTCCAAGTTGCCCTTGCAGGGGGAACAAACTAGAGGAGTGAAGGTGTTTCTAAAGGTAGATGTCTCTTCTTATCTCAGTGGATCTCCATACAGTCAATGGTAGAGCAAATACAGACAGGGGCCAGGCCAGGATGCTGGTGAAATGAGCCCAGAGTGACAAGAACATTTGTTTGGAATTTACAGCAGTCTGACAAGGTGGCACTGCTCAGAAGATGCCCCAGAGCTGGCTGAAAATGTTATGACTGAGCCAAGACCCTGGAAACTCAATAGGACCCCCAGCATGTTCATTTATCATGCTGTGCAAGAGGCTGGTAGTGTTTTTCAGGAGTGAAAGGGCCACCTTTTTTTGCTGTCAGTGTCCTTTCCCTACCTGCTCATATCCTCATTGCGAGATTATTCTTCCGACCCCGAGGTCTGATCGGTCTAGCAGGCACAGGTAGTTGGTGGGTTGGGGACCCAGCACCCAGCTGTGCTTGGGTGGCGGTGCGGTTCTGGGGAGGCAGATGATGGCAGGGTGGGAGAAGGGCTGTTGCTTCACTCTGGGAAGGAGATGGGGGGTGAGATGGGAGCTACCGCTCTCTAAGAGTGGGATGCAACAGGTCCTGTTTTAGCATTCACACTTCAGTAGCCTTGATGTCTTGCATCACTCAAAAAATTCTCATTTAAAAAGCCAAGTCAAAAAGCAGGCCTGGGAAAAGGCAGGAGAGCTTACCACAAGGGCTTTGAAGGAGCAAGTCTGTCACTGAATTTGAATGAGCTTTATTCACTGGATAAAGCCCTGAGTGAAAGTCACCTGGTGTCACACCTGTGCTTGGTT